TGCGAGGGAGGGAGAGCGAGCGAGCGAGAAGAAGAGTGGTCCAGCGTGCTCCTCCGTGCTTCGTGCTCCGCGTGCTCCACTCTGGTGCTCTCTGGCCCGCGAGAGGAAGGGGCGTTATCTGGCCTGAAAGTGAGGCTTATTGACCTGCCGCTAGCCGCCGGCCACACCGACGGGAACTACGAGCTAAAGGCGCACTCGCGACCAGCGGCAGCGCCAACCGTCCAGACACGACAGCCTTGTATCGCGTCAGCTGAGAGTTGATGAGCCGAATCTCTAAGTTCAATATTTTTTCTCCTCACTGAAAAAATTATCGTTAGACGACTGACCCTCACGTGTGGATGCTGCGTCAGCGATAGCGGGACAGGAAAAGGTGATAAGATGAATCTGAATGGCCGAGCTCCATCCAGGAAACGAAGTGATGCGACATATGCGATCGTATGTGCTAGGCGAAGGAGGGAGGGTGCGAGGGGGTGAATACTACTGACATTTTCAGAAATCCTTTTCCCAGGGAGGTGGGAACGAAAAGCCAACAAATCCAAAAATTGCGCGAGACCGACGAGTCGAAGCATCAGAAGAAGAAAAACAGTCGACGGGCGCGTCTGGTCGATCAGCCAAGAGCGTCGATCGCTCGAATCGCGCCAATCATCGACGCAACTGTTACGCATCGTGCCAGCGAAACCCGATTCGACGTAACTCCAACGGCCTCTGGCGGAGCCGCCTTTATGTCGTTGGCCGATAACTCAGTCAAGTTCACGTCGAGTCTTAAGCGGAAATCGAACGGATAAATGGACTTCGGCGCAGATTCCGGTTCTCCCACGGGAAACATCCTGCGGGATTTTCACAAAGTTCAGCAGCGTTTCGAAGCGACAGCCCGACAAGACAAAAAGAAAAGAGACCGAGAAGCGAAGGAAGCACAACGGGGAGAACGAATCTCACGAGAGGATGCATGGACGAGAACGTAGAGATACGGGAAGAGAAACGCCAGGCGTCGGGAGGCGTCCAAGTTCAAAATGTGGAACGTCGGGACGGCAGGGATTTCACTGGGTACAAAAACTTTTCCACACCCTCGTGTATTCAACGACGTCCCGCTTCGTTGCTTCTGTTTTTCGTTTTTGTTTCTTCGACTTTTTCTTTCAGCCAACCCCAAAC